CTTCAACAAACTGAGCTATTTAAAATTATTTCCTCTTTAAAATCTACTACTTGCATATTAGATCCAGTTCCTACAAGTTTACTCAAAGAAATTTTGCCAGAAATAACCAAGTCTATTCTGTCAATAATAAACTCCTCGCTAAGCCTTGGCTATATTTGCCAGTTAAATTCCACATTGACAACAAAATTCTTTTACTGATGTATAAAGCCTTTAAACGGCCTTGTGCCTCAGATCCTGAGGCAACTTCTCTCTTATTATGAACCATCACACCTACTTAGATCACAAGGTGCTGACTTACTATTTGTACCTAGATTTAATAAAGTTACATCAAGGGGTAGAGCCTTTTCATATAAAGCCCCCAGCTTAGGAATTATCTTCCAGTCAATGTTCGGGACTCAGACACAGTCTCAGTCTTTAGTCTAGGCAAAAAACGTACTTGTTTTTTGGCAATTAGTTTTCCCTGTTAGATAAAAGGTGCAGATCTGGGGGTTCATGGACCTAAAGTATTATGGTACACTGGGAGTGTTGGTGCTGTTGCCCTCTCACACGTTCACTCTGGTTTGCTGACTGTGGAGCAGAGGGGCGCTGACATTTCAGGGAGCCCTCATGTCTCTGTTACCTTTCTGGTTTCTCCCTTTTAGTTAGGCTGTAATAACTAGTCTCTGTTGCACTCTGTTAATACCGTAATCTGTGATCAGTCACTCTTTACAGAACTAACTGCCTGTGTGTCTCTTTGCCGAGTTGAACAGCTGCCCATCTTGTGCATCTGATGCTGTTATTCTTCTGCCTTGATCGGGTACCCACTGCTCGCCAGCCCTCTGGACCTGTTTGACCACCATGGAGCTTCCCGCTATACAACGCTGTGCAAACCACACCTGCATGAACTGACCTTCCTGATAATGCTGGTGCTGGCTTGTTAAATATAACCATTGCGTCACCTGTTTTCCCTGTTTCTGTATTTTAGTATTTTATACTAATGCTGTTTGCTGTCCAGTGTTGACCAGAGGAGGATGGCTTCCCTTTAGAGGCTTGGTTCCTCTCAAGGTTTCTTCCTCTTGCTCTTAGGGAGTTTTTCCTTGCCACTGTCACCATTGGTTTGCTCATGGGATTTTTCTGTAAAGCTGCTTTGTGACAATCACTATATAAATAAACTTTGACTTGACTAAATTCACATGTCCAAGTATTTAAAATACTGTGAGGAATGAAGCATTATATACACTGGAATGTTTAAGTGACTGAGCTGATTATGCTAGTGTCATACATCATGGATAGGTATACAAATAAGGCTGTTTAGTGTCACATAATATATATTTGGATCTGGAATCACTTCTTATGGTAAACAAACAATAACAGCATTTTTAGAAAATTGTTATTTATCTAAGCAGTGAGTGTTTATTTGTTCCAGAAACACTAATGTTAAAATACATATAAATAAACAGCTGAAGAGTCCATTGTGATTTTATGTGTATAGCTGGATTTCTAAATCTCTTCTGGAGGAAGTCTGATATCTACAGTTACCATCCAACACCTAGTGTAAAAAACAGTTATTGATTAAATTAATACAGGTGCTGCTAATGAAACTGAACAAAGGCTTGTGATGGCTGGAATACAGTGAGAAGTCAGGAACCAATTTGTGTTGTTTTAACTGTATTCATCTAACCTACATAATATATAACTTCTATATATGACTACTGCCACAACACATTTTTACTGTAATCATGTTTATGTGTATAGGTTCCAATGTTATATAGCACACCAAATATATTAGATTCCAGAGTTGTAGACTCGAGTCTTATGACTTGGACTCAAGTTTGACTTGGATCACAGATTTGATGACTTGAGACTCGACTCGCAAAAATTGAGAAAGACTTTCAACTCGACTTTGACTTTAACACCAGCGACTCAGACTTTGACTCGGTCTTCAATTTCATGACTTGGAAAGACTTGAGACCCAGAGTGGAAGAAATTCAATTCAAATTAGTGGTTGTTTTCAGTTGGCTGAGCTAGTTTTAGTGCTGAGCTAATTTATATATTAACCCTGTGCACCCAATGTTCCAAAAAACATATATATAAAACATAAACATATATAAAACATATATATATAATGTGTGTGTGTGTGTACACATAATTTTTTAGGTTCAGTAATACTTTTCAAATTCTTCTCATGTGTGGTTGCATTCTTTGTGTATTCAACATGCCCATGATGGTTATGTGTACCATGGATTTTGTGTTTTAGTTGGAAGGGTAAAAGAAAAAATTAATAAAAAATTAATATACAGCCATACATTACTAGCATGCTGTCATTAAAAGGCTACAGTACTGTTACCATTATTCAGTGTTGTGGCCTTAAATTAGCTAAAGAATACATACTGACTTGCTTAGGACTCGAAGATTCATACTATTGACTTGGGACTCAACTTGAGACTCGCCTGTACTGACTCGTGACTTGAATCGAGACTTGACTATCTTAACTTGGGACTTGACTTGGGACTTGAGTATCAGGACTTGAGACTTACTTGTTACTTGCAATATAGTGACTTGTTCCCACCTCTGTTAGGGTGAAATGGTGTGCCTTGAGAGCATCAAATCATAAGAATACTAAAAAAACAAATGATAGTCATTTATATTGGTTAATTTATAGCTACCTTAGCTAGCTAATAATAAACATTTGTTCTTAACAAACTCATGTTAAATTAACGTACGTCGAACTAAACCAAATCATGATGCTAAAAAAATGATGGCTAAAAGTACTGCTAACAAAACCTCGCTAGCTAGCTTTTTGCCTTTGTCAAAATTTGTCAAATTAACTGCTTAATATGAAACACCTGTGAATAACGACATACCTAACTAAAATACACTAGATTTATTCTTCATAACAAATTACAATAATATAAAAATAACCTTCTAAAATGAGTATAATAGGTAATTGTTGCTTACTATCATTTGTTGCTTCATCTGCTCCCAACGATGTGTCAATCAAGATGTCAAAATATTGCTATTACACTCCATTATGCTAGGTGGCGCACATCTAAAACTACAGCACACTTACAGCTCTCTGGTTCTGGCCCACAGATGCCCTGACTGGTCAGCTTGTCCATTCTGTTCTGATAGGTAAACTGCCAGAGCAGTCTTGCAGTCTTCAGACTAGGACACACAGAGCAGAGAGGCCACAGCAGCAGACAGGATGAAATATGCACTTCAGCTGCATTCACACAAAATCTTTTCCACAGGGCTGTGCGGAGGTTTTAGAATGTAACCACCATGAAACAATTAGAAAATCACATTTTTTTTGTCTGAGTCACTGCCTTGTTATCACTAATACAGCTCCTTCTCTTAATTTTTTATTTATTTAGGCTTTAATTTAACCAGGCAAGCCATTAAGAACATATTCTTATTTACAATAGTGGCCTGGCAAGCGCTGCAAGATGCTTGTAATGTAAGGGCTGGCTCCAGGGCTGTGGCGCTCCCAGCCACCAGAGAGAGACGACGCCCATCTCCCAGGGCCAGTCAAGCCCAATGTCCTACACCTGGGCAGAAGGTTTTGTAAGGGCAGAGAAGGAGACGCACTTTGCTGTGTCTTTGTCTCAGTTTGAGTCAACAGAAGCAGCCAGTAATTTTTGGGTAAGAGGACAGAGAGTTTTGCACTCCCCTCACGTCTCTCGAGCTTCTCTTCTCGTCTCTGAAGGGGAACATGAACAAAAAGAACATGAAGGAACCCCTCTTCCTTCTCTTCTCTTTTGGCTTTGTTTCTGTTGGGAAACTCATGTGTCGCTTTAATTACTCTATTTAATTAAGTTCTCTCTCTACTTCTGAGAAAGCCAGTTTTCCCCTGGCGTCCTTTGTTCTCTCTTCCCGCCTGAACCGAAACGGGTGTGGTTTAGAACTTGGATATATTTAGGTTTTTTTTAGTTGAGCTCATCCTTCCCGTTAGCTTGGCACTTGGGTCCTGTCTCCCTAAAACGTGGTGGCTTACTTGGTAGGCCTCTGGCATATAACTCAGATGGCAAGGGTTCACATCCTCTGTCTGGTGAGCCAACCCATGTTTCAAAGTGGAGGCACCAACCGTGAGCTGAGTCTATTGCTAGTGAAAAGTGCACTTTGCTACACAACCATCTCCTTTGTAGGTGCAGTTTACTGGCACAAATGTAATTTGTTTGACATGAAGAACTCCTGACGCATCCGGTGGATCTTGGTTTGTAAATTTCATACATGGATGCAATGAAAAATATCGATAATAGGCTTTTTAAGTAATATCATTTGACATTATTCCAAAGGTGATGGACGTTATTCAAGGCCAATAATTTGTTTGTTTTTTTTTTTGAGAGGATGGCATCCTTTTCATAATTGAGCACTAGGCCTCATGATAGGGATGTAATTGGATATACGCCCAATTCTCATGTTTGACACGTGATAATCATCCACGCTACATGAGGAAGATCTAGTATAGACAGTAGCATTCCAGCACATTTTGTGTGATGCAGTTTCTGCTGTTGAGTAGATGGTTACCTGGTTGTGGCAGTGGGGTGTGTGGTCAGGTGCCAGCTGACAAGTGAAGAGTGATTTACTAGTTTACTGACATAACTAGCCAATCGCTTGCAGATGGTATTCATTAACCATTATGTCTACTAAACCATAGATATACATACATGCAGCATTGTCTGTTGTCAGATGCAAGGGATACGTCTGCACGTCCACCTTATTGGAACAGTCACAATCCGCTTGTAAAAAAACGTGTATTGTGATATGATGAGTTGTCTTGATTAAATTGGCTTCATTATTACTCAACCAATTTCTTTTTAGCAAATTTATGTTCTAATCAGACATTTCTGGATATCACTGATTATTTAAATCCTCCAGTGTACAGTACAGTGCACTATATGTGTAAAACACCTTGATTACCAACAGCTGGCTATACATGAACTCATATAACTGAAATAAGCAAGCTGACAACAGTCATAAGAAGTGACAGAGCGAAGTAATATTTAGGTTTACATATTTATTGTGTGCAGATCAAATACATCACAATTAACATGTTCATGATCTGGGTTTTAAAGAATCTACATTCCTAAACATCAATGTTTACAAACATGGATGTTATTAAAATACATGCAAAGGCTCATAAGTGTTAAGTCCAACGGTAGAGCTCAAAATTCTTGTAAAGAAAATGATCACAGGGTGGCAAGCAGTACTCTGAATTTTAACAATTTGCTTACATCTTTGCATACTTCGAGTAGAGCTGTAGTACTTAAGTCTGGTCTCAGGACCTTTTTTTTGTCTCAGATTTGTCTTGGATTCTGTAGTGTTTGTACTTCGACCCACCTCTGTCTCAGCTACCGGTCTCACCAAATTTAGCTAACTACAGGTAAAAAAAAATGGTCTTACTTCTTAGTCCCACAAATTCGCCTTTATCAACACTCAAGAAACTTAAATGGGTCATGGGATTGGAGTGAACCAGAGCCACGTTTTAACAGCTTCAGTTTATCTCATGGGCAAACAGAGCTGAGCAGCTGTGCTTTAATTTGATGGGAAAGTAAACAGTTTCATATAAAATGTTTGTGAAATCCCTCTAGTTCATTAGCTTTTTGCCGCTGAATGTTTAAACTGTCCTCCTCAGATCATTCTACTGATCTTGTGACGTTGTAGGTTAATAATTTGTTTAAATGTCATTATACCTCAACAAGTAGCCTAGAATATTTGCCATTATTTATCCTGTTGAATCTTAAGTAATTTAAATCATTCTCTCGCAGAAGTCTGTAGTGAACTTTGTAGCTGTCACGACTGCAGAATCTAAATCAAACATTTTTTTCATACTGTAGTCCTTTTCCATATAAAGGGCTTTTCACTGAATTCGGCAGCTTTGCATGATGTTTTAGTGTTGTACAAATTGTTGTTAAAATGTTCTCAAAGGCACAGATTTGCACCTGGCTAGCTAATGGTGTTTGTAAGTTTAATATTGTTTGCTAAAGAACTGCACTGTAAAAACATGGCTTGCCAATTCAACATTAAGAAATAATAGTAGTAATTTCAACTTTCAATCAAAGTAACTTTTTGAGTGAATAAAAGTAGTTCAGTTTCTTGTTACTACTAAGTACATTTTTAGGTTGAACTGATGAGCCATTTTTTACAGTGTGATTAGTTATGTTAGGTAGGAAGGCTGGGGTTTAAAGTCGTTTAAGAAACGTTTCCAAGATTTGATTGGATAGCATTGAATGTGGCAGTAAAGTGTTGCACAGAGATGAACCATTTCACAAATCAACTGTATAAACTACACTGTATTGTATATTACATTTTATACACTCTTCAAACAGATCCAAGCAGGTACAAGTACAGGAAGGGTTCTTGATGTCAGATGGGGGGCATTATTGATTGAAACAGTTCATCTTGTTAAAGGCTTCAGTTTGATTTTCATATCTGTCAGAAAAGAGTCAGGAGATATCTTGAATTTAAATTTTTCTCAGATAAAGATTAATTAAGGGCTGGTCTTGAAGAGATTTATTGCATTTTGGTCTTGAACTGGTTTCACTCTAATTTGGACTCTTTTTAATCTCACCTATTCAAAGTCTTGGACTTGTCTTGAACTCAACATCCATGGTCTTGACTATAGCCCTACAAGCACCCTACACATCTGTGCTACAAATATACATGCACAAATGTAGCATGAGTGAAAATGTGACACAAATGATATGTACATGCAAACTCTTGAGGTGAAATTAGCCATTCTGAACGCTTAATGTGTAAATTATCATTGTTCGCAACGACAATCAGCAATCAATTCAACAATCAATTCTCTAAGTTTGCATTTTAAATTGTGGAATGAAGGTCTTTTAGATGGGTAAAGTTGGGTAAAGTTTTTAGAATGGCCTCTATTTAAAATAGATGTGAAGTCTCAAAAAGAGTTGCCAACTCACACTGACCTTTTGATCTGAGAATGGTAAGGAACAGATTTTTGACAAATTAACACACTTAGAAAAGAGTACAATATTTATATGTGACTTGTATTTGCACAGCTGTTGAGCTCAAACTTTATATTTAATATTTCCACAACAGTTCTTCTGTATGTTTGTCTCAGAGGGCACCAAAATATCATGTTGAATCACTAAAATTGTTTGCTTAAAAATGATGCAGCCAGACCTGCTACAGGAGATCGGTTTGTGAACCTTCACCATTTTCAGTGCTAATGCCCATCTGAAAATGAGGTTAATTTTAACATACTGAGGGGCTAGTCATAACATTCCCTATAAAAAAGATATTAAATTTATGTAAACACAATTATAACTGTTTTATGAATCAAATTGAAATCAAATCAAAAAGAACATGTGAAAAAAAAATGCATTAAAATAAATATTAATGAAAAGAGACTGCAGCTAACATGGCAAAGTGAATTTTGACCACTAAATAGAACAGCGAACATAAGCATGATCAAATTCAAACCTTTAATTTACTAGATATCTGTTCATTTTAGATGAACCTCTGAGTTCCAAACACTAAACTACTTTATTTTTAGAAGCTTAGTAACACCATGTTAAAAACAATGCTGCAAAACAGATGCTAAAAGGGTGATTAATAATGTACTTTACCCAGTCAGATAGCATAATTCTGATATTGTTCCTCAACTAATACTAATAAATCAGTAATTATAAATCAGTCATACAAAAATACTTGTAACAACTTTGCACTGACAGTATCCAATTGACAGTGAGTGCATTTACATGCAATTCGATAACTGCAGAAAATCAGATTTTGACACTAATTCAATCAACGCGTATATATGCACTTGAGTAATCAGATCATGGGAAACTGAGGGTCTACATGAGTCAGACAATAATCGGATTTCTGCTTTACAACGAGCCAATAAACTCACAGAAGATGTTACGTAAACGTAACATAAACTCAAACTCAATGCTGCGTCTTTTTAAAAAACCTTTGCACCACTTTACCTGAAAATATGAACATATATCGTTTAGAAGATGAGAACTATTTAAATCTTTCATTTCGGCAAGAATGTAGTTGGTTTCAGTGTCGCCCCAAAAGTGTTTGGCTGACATCTTGTGGAAGCGTTTGCTGCTTATTTTCCAGTACAGCAGTCTGTTTTCTCACATGCACAGACTGAGAAATCCAAAAGAAATCTGAGTAAGAGTTTACATGCACTGAGAAATCTGATGACTGAGCTAAAATCCAGCTCTCCTTGTTGAATTTCTTAATCAGATTTCTAGACCGGAGGATGGTGTTTACCATGAATAATGACCATTTTAATAATCGGATAACTGCAGATTATTGAGTGCATGTAAACTCACTCATTGTCAAAAAAGATGTGGCGCAAAAACTTTGGTCTGGAAGATCAGTTTTATCCTCTCCACTTCGCTGCTTCTGGTTTATCTGCTGTTGGGAGGTTAAGGAAGTTGAAGTACAGTGTAAATGTATGACCCCCTGCTCAGTTTTCTTTCCTGTGTGAAGGCTCCGGTGCTTTTTGAGGGAACCACTATGTGAAAAACTCTTCCCACATTCTGAGCACTTATACGGTTTGTCCCCTGTGTGAATACGCTGGTGTCTTTGGAGACTGCTCTTCACTGTAAAACCCATTCCACACACTAAACAGTAATGTGGCTTCTCTCCTGTGTGAACGCGCTGGTGTCTTTGTAGAACACTCTTACGATTAAAGTTCTTTCCACACTCAGAACACTGAAACGGTTTCTCTCCCGTGTGAATGCGCACATGTTCCTGGAGACTGCTCTGCACCGTAAAACTCATTCCACACTTTGAACAGGAATATGGTTTCTCTCCTGTGTGAATATGCTGGTGTCTTTGGAGAACGCTATTTCGACTGAAACTCTTTCCACACTCGGAACACTGAAACAGCTTCGCTTCTGTGTGAACGTGCTTGTGTTCTCGGAGATGACTCATTTGGTTAAATTTCATTCCACACTGTGAACAATAATACGGTTTCTCTCCTGTGTGAATGCGCTGGTGTCTTTGGAGACTGCTCTGTGCAGTAAAAGTCTTCCCACAATCTGAACAGTTATATGGTTTTGCTCCTGTGTGAACACGCTGGTGTCTCTGGAAATTGCTCTGTACATTAAAACGCTTCCCACACTCTGAGCACTGATATGGTTTATCTCCTGTGTGAATGCGTCGGTGCACTTGGAGATTACTCATCCGATTAAAACTCTCCCCACACTCCACACACATATATTCTCCTGTGTGAACGCACTGGTGTGTTTGGAGATCACATTGCTCAACAAAACTCTTTCCGCACTCAGAGCAGTGGTGACTTCTTTGTTTTTCTGTACTTTTTTGCATTTTTCTGCGAGATGTTTTCTTGCTGAGAATATCAGATGACGTCTGCTCAGTACTAGAGCTTCCGGATGCCATCTGCTCACATGAAGTCTCTCCAGATTCCGGATACATTCTTCTAGCATCTGCTGGTAAAAGGGGGAAAAAAAATGTACAATTCAATGTCAAATGCAACAAAAGTTAGATGAACACAGGTTGGTCAGGGATTAAAGTACTGAAGTGGAAACAGCTACTGGCAGTTTTACAAAGATGACCTTCAGCTATACCCTTTTAATTTAAATTTAAAAATTGTTACAGTAACAATTTTAATTTTTTAATTTTTCACTAATTTCACGGGTCTGTATGCAAATGTCTCTCGTTAAGAAACCTGCGCATTTTATGACTTAAAAATCACCAGTTCACTTAAACAGTGGTGGGCTAAGCCACGTATTTCTTTATACTGCGAAAGAGGCCTCGAATATTCTGTTGCAACTCCCATTAGGATGAAGCAATCTGAACCAAAAAAAAAACCCCTCTACGCTTGTTTGAAGCTCCATATACTGAGGAGCACATTGCACGTTGTTTCGTTCAGATTGCTTTGTCCTAGCGAGAGTTATTACAAAATATTCGGGGCCTCTTCGAGTGAATCTCCCTGTATAATCCATTTCTTTCTTTATATGTCAGCTTTTGTAATCAGCACAAAATGTAAGTGGTATTCAGTGCAAGCCAGATAGAACAGATTTAAAACAACTAGTCTTATTAGTTATAATAAACAGCTCTTGCTTTAACATCAAGTATGAGAAAATTATGGCATCTAATCTCTCTCATACACAGTAGGTGATTGTTGTGAGTCATTAAAGTTCCTCTTGCTTAATGGACAAACATTCAATTATTCTTTGTCGCAGATGATATCTCTCTATGGTAACCTATAAACTGAAAACAGAAGAAGCCCTAGCACTGAGCCCAGAGGAACACCACGTTTGACCTTTGTATGTTCAGAGCATTCATTATTTACAATGACAACCAGTAATGCCAAACAGGACATAAAACAGGATTTGTCTTGTAGAATTTCCTATTTTTTTTTCAAAATAAAATAGCCTTGATGAGACAGAGCGTAGCTTAGGCTGATGTGCATGGATCCGTCTGTACTCAATAATTTTAGACCTATTTCAAACCTTCCTGTTTTAGGTAAACTTTTATAAAAGGTTGTTTTCAAATGATTAAATGTGAATCTAATATGAAGCAAGTTATTTGAGAAATTTCAGTCAGATTTGTTAAAGGCAGAGTTGATTATTGTAATGCTCTTTTTAATGGGCTTTCTAAGAAAACTATACATCCTCTACAACTCATACAAAATGTGGCACCATGGATCCTAAGAAAAACAAAAAAGACCTTCACTGGATACGTGAATGTAAACAGATTTATAATTTTATCTCTATACCAAAAATGTGGTAAACAATGTGGAAAAACCATCAAACGGATTGGTAGCACTTAACTTTACAGATTGGTAAAGTGGAAAATTACCATATCATTACTCGTTCCAAAGTGTTATGGAACGAGCTGTACTAACCTAAAAATATGCTCATATATTAGTTCTTACTACAAATATTAGTAATAATAATCGCAACAAGTCAGTAATAAACCATTACCATATCATCCCAGCCTTCAATAGTGCAGCTCCAGCTTCTCTCTCCAGTGCAGAGGTTTAGACTGCTGACTACAGCAACTATAGAAGCTATACAAACGCCTGATTTCAGATAAACCCCGCCTAGTGTGATAAGATTGGCTAGTAGTTCATATGAGCAGTCCTGTGGTTGGTCAGCAGGAACGTTTTATTATTAAATTGTTTTAACAAAACTAATTGGCGATGGCACCATCTTCAGCTCTGTGATCATGACAATAGCCAGGCTTCTGCAGTAAAACTCACCTATCAAATCCACCCCCATCACAGTCTATTCACACTCATGCTGTCTGGAGTGTGAGTGAGATCAAGAGCCTTCAGCTTTCAGAACAGCTTCTACCGAAAGGACAGTCTCCTGAACAGCTCTGTTCTCACCCTCTTGAAAGCCCCCAATCACCCACCACAATGCTTAATCTAGCAGCCACTGACCAGCAGCCCCCACCCAAACATTATCACCTATAATGGAGTACCAAAACATGGTACATTACTTGCAATTCCTGAATGTTACAATTAGAATTATGCATCATTCAAACAGGCAGCCCTTAAACAGTGTTTCACCAGAATACGTTCACATTTGCTATGAAAGTCATGTCGTGTAAAAATGCCATTCATGGGATGTAACGTTTAATCTGTGCCATAGAAGTTAGTTAGTTTGTTAAGGAGGCAGCATCTAGTGCTGAGTTAGTGACACTCTTTTTAAATAGCTAATGTTGTGGTACACATTATTGCATTCACAAACACATGTCAAACAATAAAATCAATGAAAACATGGAAAGGAGCAAAAAACAACATAACACAGTAGAAACATAACAAAGAGCATAATTAGACCTGTTTATTTGGATTTAGTGCAGTATGTGAAACACTGAATAAAAACGATCATATCCAGTTCTCGATAGTAGTTTTTAAATGTGGTACTATTCATATACTGTGTCAAAATGCCATCATATATTGTGCATACTGTGTGTCTTTAAATATTGTGCTATTTTTGTCATATTGCCCACCTCTACATGTTGGCTTGCACTGTAGTGCTGTATTCTGGAGACCTGAGAGTTCATTATTACACATATGTGGACATGTATTTTTATATATTTGAAAAACATTTCAAATACATTGTAATCCATGCTGAAATACCTTCCAAACACTATGGAATGTATTTTGGCATGAAATAAAAATGTATTTCAGAATATATTGCCATATTAACCAAATATATTCAAAAATATATTTATTTTAAAATGTATGGGGAAATGTACCATGCCAATAAATGTATGTAACTGTATTCAATATCAAATACATTTGCAAATGTATGAAAATAGCCAAAATACTGTCTAATGCACTTTACTGTTTGACATTTCTGAAATGAATTTGTATTCCAGTATCTTAATGTAAAGTATTAGCACATGAATCTTGAACAAGGCAAAAGGCAGTGTTGAAGGTATTGATACGCTGTGAAAATGCAGTTATACATCTTGTTTATTTGATATCCATTTTGTGTCTTACTGTGTCTTACTGCATACGTACATGATTATGGCACAGTACAATGCAAAACACAGAAGTCGGTACCATTTAGTTATATCTTTTTTAACTGAAATAATATACATTTTAGCCATTTTAATACACTTAAAATATGTGTCTGTGTGTAAACATATATACACATATACACACAAACACACACATTATATATATATATATATATATATATATATTTTTTTTTTTAATTATTAATTTATTTTTTTTTCTTTTCTCATATTATTAAACTTGGTTGCCATTTGCTAAACTCAACAGAATGTTGGCCATCAGCTCTAGGGGACTAAGAGACCTGCACTTACTATCAACACTGCTGATAAAGTGTCCATAAATTGTCCAGTTGGAAAACACAAGGCCAAAGGCATGTGATTTAAACAGCTTTTCAAACTTACACAGATGCACTCCTTACACAAATACAACACATCAATTAACAAGAATACTTGACAGTCTTGAAAGCAATATGAAAAATCTTTGACAAGTGAATATTTTAGTCCCATCAGCTCGTCTAGAGTACTTAAAACCCTTAAACCAAATCTTGCTGTGGGTTAACACAGAATGAAATAAATAAAGCATGGCCTGTACACAGAGTGATGTTAGCATGTTGGCATGTTAGCACAACAACAACCCAAAGTCAATCCTTTAAAACGTACATACAGTGTAACGAGCATACAGATGTAAAAGAAAAGCAGATGTACTTACAGAGAGCATAAAACTCAAAGGTTTCAAGAAAAGTTCCAAAAAGGAGAGCAAGTGTGCTTGAAAGACAGCTCTCAAACACTTCTTTATTTCTTCTTCTTTGCTCTTCTTCTTCTTCTTTTGTCTGAATGGTGGTTGACAGGCTGACATAAAGTGCATTACTGCCACCTACTGAGCCGGAGTGTGGAGTCAGATTTCAGGACAGCATGACTGCTCTGTGAATCCAAGAGAGTGGAAAAAATATATGTAAGACCATAAATCCCAGTAGAGCTCAGAAACTGAAAAATCTGCTTGTGCATTCTACAAATCGCTGACCCATATGAAAGTAAGCCTTTCAGTGAGAAGTCCTTGCAACCAATGTGCGAAATACATGGAGTCCCTGGGGGGAGTGGGGGTGGGGGTCAAGGCCTGCTAATAAACCTCTTTGACCCCTTGAATGTCTGAAAATCAAAATTCTTGTGGGTTTCCGAAAATCTATTTGACATTACGCTGACCGTTAGGGAAAAACAGACCTTCAAAAACAATTTCAGGAATAATTTTTTGTTTTAGCTGCTTCACCCACAATCAATGAGCTTTTGTCTTTGGTAGAGCTGCAGCACTGATCTGCCTCGGGATGGCGCTGTAGCAAATTGGTTCACCCAGTTGGTCCTTATAGCCTAGAAACTAACTATGCCTGGGATACCTCTGAAAAACTATTATTAATAAACTATTATTAATAAAAGTATTTCTGTAACTCTAAAACCTGCCCAATTTCCCAAGAGACTGGTGAAAACATTAAATTATTACTCATTTCTCAAACTAAAGATACAAGAGAAGATGTAATATTTCAGTTAAAGTGTGGAAAATGAACCAAACATTTTGTTGCCATTAAAGCTAGCATTACTGCTGCTATGGCAAGTAGCAGCCAGCCAACAACAAGGGCATAATGGAGGAAACGCTGGCCCAACTTCTGCAGTGGGAGCCGACCCAGACCCAGCGCTGCGGAGATAAGAACCACTTTCAGCGACAGGTTAGGGAGAAACTGAAGGGGTATCGTAGAACAGAGTCAGGAGATATATCAGGGGATGGGTAAGTGATTTACTCATAACTCCTCATTACCGGATTATAAGGAGGGCTGATACCCATGTACCATAGACAGAAAGCCACAAAACCTTTTTTGTTACCAAGGGGCCCCACCCTGTGGCCAGCCCCCTTCACTATCAGAGTAGTCTACTTTTTGTTGGAAGCTCAGTTCAATATTTTGTATGATTTTTCTTTGAATTTCTCTGTTCTGTTTCACCCTGTTTATCTGTTGAGGTCTGAGATGTTACAAGTACAATGTCTCACATAAAATTAATGTAGTACTAGGATTATAACATACTCTGTATATAATAATCCTAGTACTGTAATGTAATGTAATGTAAATGGGCCAAACAAACATAGCAAAATGATAGCTAAAATAAATAATATTGTATTTTGGCAGGAAGCTCATCTAATGGGATCTGTGCAGGAGATTTGAATAGGCTTCTTAACATTTTATTTGATACAATCAACAGGAAAAGAAGAAGGAACTCTACTGAAAACATATAAATAAGGTACTTAATGATTCGGGATTGATTGACGTATGGTGGTCCATGCATGGATCATACCCATTTCTTTATGTACAAGGATTTACATAGATTGAAAGATTGTGTAACAGGCCAGAGGACTCTTTCAGGTCACTCTGAGGTTTATCTAGACAGCGTAATACATTGTGGAGGCCAATAGGAGGGGCCAGAGTGCCAGGACAGGGTAATGAGGGCTGAGTGGTGACGGCAGTGGACGCCTTACTTAAGGGGTGCTCACAGTCTGCTCTGTTCAATTCATGCTGCCACTTCGGGGTACTGAGGTACTTCCCCGTGTACGTTTTTAATATAAAAAAAATAAAATAAAAAAGCAATTTCAACTCTTGAGTGTTCCTTCAGTCCTTGTCTTGGGGTACCTCTAGTAAATAAAGAAAAATACCCTTCTGTTTGTTCAAGAAGCTCTTAGCGAAAGAGTAAAGAGGATTTTGTTTTTATTTCGAGAAGCTCTGTCGCTTGAGAGTATTCTTTGTAAACCCTTCAGTTGGCATCACCACCACTTTCTTAGGTGGGGTGTGCAGTGGTATAGCATGTTGGTCCTGCAACGTAAAGGGCAAGGGTTCAGTCCTCCTCCACAACCTCTAGTTTCTTTGTTTTATTCAGTTTCCTTTCAAGTTCTTATTTCTCTCAAGACAGTTTAGTTGTTTTTCCTAATTATGTAGCTCTTAGTTTTCTTGAGTTGAATGTCTGAAAATCAAAATTCTGGTGGGTTTCCGAAAATCTATTTGACATTACGCTGACCGTTAGGGAAAAATAGACCTTCAAAAACAATTTCAGGAATAATTTATTGTTTTAGCTGCTTCACCCACAATCAATGAGCTTTTGTCTTTGGTAGAGCTGCAGCACTGATCTGCCTCGGGATGGCGCTGTAGCAAATTGGTTCACCCATTCCTCGAGTCCCGGTTGCTCTGCACCTGAGACTAGTGTCTGCCAGGTGGTTCGTCCCTGCAGCTAGAGCCATGCTCTGGGGTAAGATCATAGCCAGGACAGCCATGTTGAGAAAGATAAAAGCCTAAAAACTGTCAAATCTACAGGAAAAATAGAGAAATCTAGAACAAATGCACACTGTTAACAAAGAGCACTCTATTATACACAGAATTAGAAATGTCAAGAAAATAAAATACTAATTGAGAAAGCTGAGAAAAACTTGAACCAAAGGACCATGAGGCAGGCCCTAAAGTGGCAAAATTGCTAGTGTGTATATGTATTATATAATTGGGTGTATATGAAATTTTGTATGGAATATTACAGCTGGTCCTGTCAATCAAGGCTGCAGAACTGTTCCAACAATTTAACATATAGAACATAGAAATGTTAGGGGTGTAACAATTCCTAAAATTCAGAATTTGGTTTGATACAATACTGAAGTGTTTTAATCTAATACACTTCTTAAAAAACGAGTGCATAAAATTGTTAACATATTAATTATAATATTTTCAGTTTATTAAAGCTTTATTAGGGCTGACTTCTTAGCAGCATAAAACACAACCAAAAAGTTGTTTTATAATGGAACAACATCAAAGTCAAACGTATGTATGTGTGCGTGTATATTGCTGCTGTCGGAACAAAACCTTGTATGTCAATTTTTGTCGTTTTTCAGTTTTTGGCATAATTTGAAAACGCCTGTTGTCCTTTACATTGTATGTAATTTTCATCATGAATGGACCAAAAGTGTGTAAGGAATTTTCTCCAGTGGTAAGCATGTAAATAATTCCTTGAGCCACTGCAGTGTACTTCGTCTACCCATCTTTTTCCAAGTAAGTGCATCACCCTCTTTGCCAGAAGACATCAGATGTCAATAAAAATTCTTTGAGTGGTGTTTGTTTTATGTTTAATTGGGTAAAGTCCAAGAATGAAGACCTTGGGAGATTCATTTTCAACTTACTTGATAATTCTTCCATACTACAGGGAGATTCACTTGAAAGAGGCCCTGAATATTCTGTTGCAACTCCCATTAGGATGAAGCAATCTGAACCAAAAAAATTACGCTACATACCTTGACGTATGTGTAATCGATTGCATTACATGCGATGATGGAAGCGATCTCCGTTTTCTGCCAGACACATGAAGGGGTACGGGGGTATGCCGGCTGTCCGGCGCCTACCTCATCGCTCCAACACAGGGGCATCCTGGCTTGTTCGAAGCTCCATATACTGAAGAGCACATTGCACATTGTTTCGTTCAGATTGCTTCGTCCTAGCGAGAGTTGTTACAGAATATTCGGGGCCTCTTTCGAGTGAATCTCCCTGTAGATCTTACCTCCCACCAAAATTCTCCTATTCTTGGACATGTACAGCGACACAGAGTTCCTTTATTCTCACCACAGCTAGTACATATATCTGGAATATTCCTGTTGAATTTCTTACGTTTTTTTCTGCTCTAATATAAACTCTCATCAGCCTGCAAAAGTCTAAGGCGCGAGTTTGCCGATTGGGTTTGGGCCTTCTGGCATCCTCATCTCCATTCCTGTATCTTTAAATGCACTTGTAGATCCTCTTTGCCTGAAATAAGTTTAAAATCTGAGGATTCTGTGGATTGTAAAGATATTAGCCCATAAATTTTAGATATTAATTGTTTTCCAAAGGGATTTTGTACTTGCATGCTTTCCAATACAGATAAAGGAGGAATACTCAAGAACTGACAATGATTAGCTGTAATAAAGCTTCTAAGTTGTAGAACCGTGGATGAGATATCAAATTTGTCACAAGTTCCTCAAAAGACATCAGAATATCATCATCAAATCTTTAATTTGTATTATCCTTTTTGGGCCTATAGCCTAAAGCCTGTATCAGATACTCCTGGTATAAAGGATATACTTCCCCAAATTGGACTGTAATGAGAGAACTGAAGTTATTAGTGAGAAATATGAAGTTATTCATATGTCTCACTATGGGATTAGAAATTGATTTCCTCAGTTTTGTGGGATTGTCTGAATACTAAAGGAAGGGAGGGGCACCCTCAAAGAAAATGACTATATCTTTGCATACTGGTGTCTCTTCAGCTGCGTAACAAAACATAGATCTGCACTGAGCTGCCCAGTAATACCATCTTCAATTGGGGAGTTTCAATCCCCCTCTATCAAAAAGTAAGTATAAGAGAGATAGACGCAGTCTGGGATGCCTATTGTTCCAAATAAAATTGCTAAACAGTTCAAACTTGAAACGTGTTGCTGGCATCAAATTCAAAACAGGCATATATTTTTCAAAAAGCAAGAATTTTTAGTTAACATTTGTACTATTTGCAATTAAACACAGGATTTACATACTTTGCACATCATTGCATTTTGTATTTACTTACATTTTGCACAGTGTCTGAACGTCTTTGGAAACATGGTTGTATAAAAACATAAAACATTTACATATATTTAGCTGCCTGTTCTGTCTACAGCACTTAGGCTCCACCTATCACACTGGGGTTACAATGAGTGTTTCAGCCCAGACTGCTTTTTGAATGAAGCACAAAAGACAACCCATCAGAACAGAGTTCATTTACAAACGTCTTAAAGACAGTAACAAAAACAGCCTGTTTAATCCTAAAGCAGGGGTGCCCAATCCTGATCCTGGTGATCTACCACCCTGTGAGTTTAGCTCCAACCCAAGTCTGTCACACCTGATCCATGTAATGAAAGGCCTTCAGGGGCATCTGCATAACCAAGCCAGGTGTGTTGGATCCGAACTGTCCAGGGTGGTAGATCTCCAGGACCAGAAATGGGCACTCCTGTTCTAAAGGATAAAGAGAAGTTGGAAAATGGTGATGCAAAATTTGGCACCCAAGCAAATACAAACTTTTCTGAGTGGACCTCAGGGGAAAAAAAAAAATGTAGAATACGGGCCCTTTAAATAATTTTATAATATTCTTACAACAATCTCAAATATTAAATATTAGATACATCAACTGGAGTTAAGGTGACGTCCCTTGCCAAGTTATCGTAATCCTTTTTGCTTTGTGTAAATGGTTATGCCACTTGGGAGGCCAGAACCTAATTGAAAAATGTGCATCCTCTTTTTCCCTAGGGCCCTTGAATCACTAAATCCACCCCTGAACCAAAAGAATACATGCACCAAATGGTGTGCATACTTGAATCAAATGTATAAAGTGCGTCACTCTTTCCTGTCTATACACTAAGTATACTTAACGTTTTACTTTAACTTTCATATATTTGTACTGTTGTTAGACTGCCTAGAGAGCAATAATTAGACTTTCTTTTAAATATAATAGTATTAGAACCCATCTTAGGTTATCATCTATAGCTGATTATGAATATAAACGACTTATGACAATCCTACAGTGCCATTCTTCTGCTTTTTAGGGTCTTTGATATATTTTTTTTCATCAAAAGGCACATTGATGTCTTAGACATCGATAGAATGGGCTCCCAAGTGGTGCAACCATCTAATCATCATCCTCATCATCATGAGCCACCCGTGGCAACAAAATAAAAATGATGAAAATGAGACCTCATAAACTGAATTTTGAGCCCAAAGTAGAACAAGCATGAGCATGATCAAATTTAATTTACATGGCATCTGGAGTACCTTTTTGCTGAGTTTGTGAATAAAAGGCCCAAAAAAACTTAACTGCTCCTTTTTACGTTGAGTGGCTTAGTGACACTGTGTTCAAACCAACCCCTGCTGGGTTTCCCAAAAGCACCTTAGCACAAAGATGATTCCTGAATGGTAAAGTGAGCATCACACTAAACACTCTCTCTACTAGTTACGATGATCTTTACAAGATGCTTTTGAGAAACTGGGCCTCTGTCAGGTGGAGGCTGTACTTTTTTGCTAGACCAGCTTTTATATGCTTCTGTAATGGTGCTGTATTACAGACGATCATTAAAATAATACCATACTTTATCCACCCAGCTAACATCATTAATATTTTACATCAAATACTACTATTAGATATCGACCAACAACTTTAAAAAATATTAAGAATATAATATGAGTCCAAGACACCAAGTTATCATTATCAGATTTATCCAAAACCAAACCATGTTTGTCAGGAAGAGTTTTCATTTCTCAAAAGAAAGAACTGCTTTCCAACACCTATCATACAGAATGAATATAACTTTGAAGAATTTGTAGACTCTGGGATTCACTCCGGCCACCCTTGTCCAGCTTTCTTACTTGTGTGAAAGCACTGGTGTTTTTTGAGGGCAAAACTCTTCCAACATTCCGATCGATACGATCACTGAATACAGCTCATTCCACACTCTGAACAGTAATAAGGTTTTCCCCTGTATGAACACGCTGGTGTCTTTGGAAATTGGATCTGTCAGCAAAACTCCTTCCACACTCTAAGCACTGATATGGTTTCTCTCCTGTGTGAACACGCTGGTGTCTTTCGAGAACACTCTTTCGATTAAAGTTTTTTCCACACTTGGAACAGTGAAAGGGTTTTTCTCCGGTGTGAATACGCTGGTGCATTTGGAAACTGCTCAGCACAGTGAAACTCATTCCACACTCTGAACAATTATAAGGTTTTTCCCCTGTGTGAATGCGCCGGTGTTCTTTGAGAACGCTTTTCCGACTGAAGTTTTTTCCACACTCGGAACACTGAAACGGTTTCTCTCCAGTGTGAATGCGCTGATGTCTTTGGAGACAACTCTTTCGAATAAAGATTCTTCCACAGTCGGAACACTGAAATAGATTCTCTCCTGTGTGAATACGCTGGTGTATTCGGAAACTGCTCTGCAGGGCGAAACTCATTCCACACTCGGAACAACGATATGGTTTTTCCCCTGTGTGAATACGCTGGTGTCCTTGGAGAACGCTCTTTCGACAGAAGTTTTTTCCACACTCGGAACACTGAAACGGTTTCTCTCCAGTGTGAATGCGCTGGTGCTTTTTGAGTGCGCTCTGTGCCGGAAAACTCATGCCACACTCTGAACAGTAATATGGTTTCACTCCTGTGTGAACACGCTGGTGTACTTGGAGACAGCTCTGCTGAACGAAACTCATTCCACACTCAGAACAACGATAAGGTTTTTCCCCTGTGTGAACACGCTGGTGTGTCTGGAGATGACTCCTTTGATTAAAACTCCTTCCACACTCTGAACAGTGATACGGTTTCTCTCCGGTGTGAATACGCTGGTGTGCTTCGAGAACACTTTTTTGCCTAAAATTCATTCCACACTCTGAACAGTAATAAGGTCTCTCCCCTGTGTGAATACGCCAGTGTGCTTTGAGGACACTCTTTTGAGTAAAACCCTTTCCACACTCTGAACAGCAATACGGCTTCTCTCCTGTGTGAATACGTTGGTGTCTTTCGAGATAAGTCTTCAGACTAAAACTCATTCCACATTCTGAACAGTTATATGGTTTCTCTCCTGTATGAATACGCTGGTGTCTCTGGAGATTATTCTTTGCAGAAAAACTCATTCCACACCCTGAGCACTGATACGGTTTCACTCCTGTGTGAATTCTCTGGTGGACTCGGAGATTACTCTTTGCAGTAAAACTCCTTCCACACTCTGAGCATTGATATGGTTTCTCCCCTGTATGAAGGCGCTGGTGTACTTTGAGATGGTGCTTTTGATTAAAATTCATCCCACACTTGGAACAGTGATATGATTTATCTCCAGTGTGAATGCGCTCGTGTCTTTGGAGTCTATATCTGTCAATAAAACTCTTTCCACACTCAGAGCAGTAGTGAGTTCTAGCTTTGTCTGAATCTTTCTGCATTTTTATGTCAGATTCATTAGCGTTGGACGAATCAGGTGACGTTTCCATCGGCTCACATTAATTCCCTCCTGATTTTAGATGTAGTTTTCTAGCATCTCCTGAAAAAAAGATAAAAAGAAGGAACATTTAAATGTCAAATACAACAAAAGGTTAACAAATACAGGCTGGTCAGAGATTATAGTCAAGTAGAAAATGTCTGTATCAGCTGCTGCCAAGTTTTTTTTAGCCTAGATGTAATTTTTTCCATAATTTCATGGATCTGTATGCAAATGCCTTTTCTCCTGCTGTAGATTTTTTTGAGACTTGGTATCAGTAACCCTACTATCCTGTCTTACCTTAATAAACAATGAAGATTATAAAGGGTCACTAGTACACTTATGCATGGCCTAACCCACCAGTGTTTTTCCTTATTAACAGAATTGAGTAATCAACAATTATCCAGTAAAGGTGAACAAAACAGTATTCAGTAAAGCTGGGTAAAACAGGTCTGATATAGTCTTCTTTGTTCTAATAAGATCTCCTTCTGTAAAGCAACAGTTTGCAGGTGATATCTGTCAATGGTGTCCAACCAAGAAGGCAGCGCGGTAGCACACACAGCAGCCTCTCCGGGTCCGACAAAAGGTGCTATTTCTGTGTTATTAGTTTCGTGTTCTTTCTGACACTTTATTGCGCTGTATATACTGTATTGTTTTGCACTTCCTGTGTTGCACCATGGTCCTGGAGGAATGTTGTTCGCTTCACTGTGTACTTGTATATGGCTGAAATGGCAAAGCCTCTTTAATTTGAACTTGGTAACTTATAAGCTGAAAGCAGAACAAAAACATTCAATAAAATGGCCTCCTACAGAGGCTAAGGCTAAACATAACAGGACAATGCAATTACAGGTAAATAATGCACCAGTTCCTAAAAAGGGCACTAACAACCCAGCTCAAGGCATACAGGGTACAGAGAAACACTAAACCACTGGCCATGAGAGTAACGCCACTTCACTATAAGCCAGTTACACAATCAGACTCTGAAAGAAAAATAAATATACAACACACCATTAAAATAATTATGTATTTTATAATTATAATTTATCATTTTCACTCCAAAGCTGAACTGTGTCACAGCAAAACAGTATTAGCTAGTGGGGGAGGCCTACTTGAGGCCTGTGTTACAAACACTGAATATAGCCTGATATACACCACAGCTTACAGCACAGGAGCTCAGCACTACTACTCCAAATTAATGGGCTGAACCATTAACAGCACTACACACATAAAAGGACTGGGCACCCAGTTTAATCTCTGATCATATTCTATGCGAATATCCAATGTAATATACAACCAGGATATACTTCAGAAAAGGGTAAATGAAAAACAGCAGCTACAACCACTACAGATACAACTGTCTCTGTAATATATATATTAACACACAATTAATCAAAACAGCTTAGCTTTATATTAATGAAGCACTTCAAAATAAACTCAAAGATCTTGTTAGACGGCTCAACACTGGCGTCCCAAACTCACTCAATACGACCAAATAGTCACTATATACACAGTTCAATCTGTAATATGTACACAGTGATTTAAAACCAGTTTAGCCTCGTCTTGGTAACAGACTTTATATAAATAACATCACTGAGCTCATACCTGCCTGGTAGCTGGCACACCTTATAAAGCTCAGTGTTGGACTTCAAAACTCGCTCTAACCTACTTCACACTTCAACATCTGGACATGAGCTTTTAATGTGGAAAAGGCTTTTAACCATAACAAACGGGAAATACCAGCTTATTACTGCTCCATGTATAACACAGCACAGCCCGTCTGAGAGCGCAGCCTCTGTAAAACACAGCTTTAAGATCTGAAGCTTCAGTCTGTCAGTAAAATGTCTTTTAACCGTCAGCAGTGAGTTTAACAGACCTGTACAGCAGGTAAACCCCGAACACAGACCCTGCAGCTCTGCTCGGGAAACTCCGTCCTTCAACAGGAGGAGAGTTTAAACAGCCCTGCAGTTACACCATGTTCGCTCCAGCGGCACAGCTTTCCTCTCCGACAGCTCACAGTATCCTCCTTTTAGAGCTCAGCTTGAGCAAAAAGAGACAAACTCTAAAAAACAGCTTCTACAATGAGCTACCAGTAGATACCAGAAGAGACGGACCGAGACTTCAGTAACCTAACGCGAGACGATGTGCACCCCCACAATGGCTGCGTGACAGGTTCTGACCTTCAAATTAAAAGTCCCCACTTAAGCTCTCCAACCATGCCGGCTAGATCAGGAAAAAAGTAACGTCAGCAGCTACGTCTTGTAAGATCTCTGTAATAAAGTAAAACATTTGATAATCGTTTGATAGCTATAATTAGAAAGGATACTGGGGTATAGATTTGAATGGTAACAGTCTGTGATAAATTAATCACTGTTTACTAGTCAGCTAACACATTATCACCAGATGTAATGGGAAATGCCCACCATATGACATAAAGCAGCAAATGCTTGAAGCAGCTCCTGATTTAACCCCTCAAATTTTCTAAGATATTTTATCAAAGAAGCAAATCCAAGTTAAACCAAATATTCAAAAACAAAAAAATAAATTATAGTTATAGTGATGGAATTAGCAAAACAGTAAGAATCCTTCTAGGTTCAATCATATTTTGTGAAACTCATTAGAAGTTATGGACATATTGTTTATCGTACAGATCGGTGTGCACATGTACATCAACACTGACACAGCCATCCTGTTTTAGCTTACAGTGGGAGTGCAATATCGCTGTAAGTGTGGGAAATGTAATGTAAAACTTACTTTCAAAATACGTCATCAACAACAGAAGGGACATTGTCTCCCCCCTCCCAAATTAACAGCAGTCCTGATGAAGTGTCATTGTCTGAGAATGCCCAATTCATTTTATCATTGGGGTCAATTTGACCCCAGCAGTTTAAAACAGCAAAAAAAGTACATGTAACCAAACTTGGAGAAAAAACTGAACAGAAATATACGAATATTTCCTTTCCTACAATACTAATGCCAATCTCTGTATTACACACAGCTTAGTGCCCACATAAAGAATCACTATAGAGCCAAATACCAATATACAACAATTTTTAATTACAAATTTAGGTGCTATTATGTGAAAGGTTGTAGATAAACACAAATGCATAGCAACAAGAATAACAACACTATTTTGTACTTTTAAATACTTTATTTCTATATATTTAAGTAAATATACAGAGATATTCTCAAATAGTAGAACTAAGTATCAATGATTTTGTTAACACTGGGGGCGGTCATGGGCTGGGGGTTAGGAAACCAGCCTTGTGACCGGAAGGTTGCTGGTTTGATCCCCTGAGGCTACAGTATGTGACTTAAGTGCCTCTGAGCAAGGCACCTAACCCCCAACCACTCCTATTTTTCCACATGCTGCACATTTTTATTCACCTTTGATTGTATCTATCTCTGTCCATACCAGAGTATGTGAGTGGTGTGGAGTGGAAGTGGAGCCGTGATTTTGCACGGAGTGGCTTTTCAGAAAGTCACAGATCGTCAGTGTTCTTTCTTCAAATCACTCCAATACCTGCGAGCCAGACTGTCCTATTTCCCCACAATGGCTACCTCTGTATGACTGGAGTGACGCATTTTAGGTTTATGACTGGAAACTCACTGTATTTCCTCATTGCTGCCTGTTTTTTGTACCTAACTAGCATCTGACTCCAAATTTGTAACTTCATAAGCTGTGGAGAGCTTCAGTGATTTAAGGTTAATGTTAGCTCATTTTAACAGTAGCTGTAGCTCATCTAAATAAGTAACTGCCTTTTAGCTAGTTCAGTTCATTTCTACAGAGCAGTTAAGTACTGTTGTTTGTATGGCAAGCTGTTTTAACATACAGGTTAATCCATAAAACTGAGTAAAAAGTGAAGGTGTGACTTTAATAATGCACAAAGAGAAATCATAAAAAATAAATGATAGCAATCCAGCTCTCACAGACATAATCAAGCCCTCTAGATTGACTTCGTCACATGGCCACTATGGTTCCAAGAGAGCTTGCAAAAGTTAGTGAGAACAGTTGCTGCACCTATTTGATGTCGTTTCTCTAATTGGATTACTTGCTGAAACTTTCTGCATGTCCACTCTGGCAAGAGAGATGAAGTCATGTCTGAATGTTTAACAATTTGTGATTTTAGGCAGCCTAAAACAGAGACAGAATTTCATTATAGTGTATTAATATTCATTATAGTGTAGTGTAATACATTAAGTGTATTTCAGGTCATTTTTCAAGCCAGATTACTTGTGTTGCTGATTGTTTTGATATGTGTACAGGGGTAGCGCCAGGATATATTTTTCAGGGGTGCTACAAGGGTGTTGAAACATATGAAAGGGGTTCGTATGCATATGACTCTTGTGGTGGCAATATGTGAGCACCGGGGTTTGCGGGTGGGGGTTAGGTGGTAACAGTCACAGACCCACGGTCTAGCTACATGCTGAATCTGTGTTGATTCGATATTAAGGCTGTTTACACACAAAGCTGTTTGCTCAAGTCCCAAACCAGAGTTTGGGTTTTTGCACTTTTGTATCTTTTCATTTGCTTTGGTTGGCAACACAAATTGTACATCGTAATTTTGCACAGTAAATCTCTCATTCTGATCCAGCACCAGACAGAAAAAAGAGGCAAATCCAAGTTAAACCAAATATTCAAAAACAAAAAAATAAATTATAGTGATGGAATTAGCAGAACAGTAAGAATCCTTCTAGGTTCAATCATATTTTGTGAAACTCATTAGAAGTTATGGACATATTGTTTATCGTACAGATCGGTGTGCACATGTACATTAACACTGACACAGCCATCTTGTTTTAGCTTACAGTGGGAGTGCAATATCGCTGTAAGTGTGGGAAATTTAATGTAAAACTTACTTTCAAAAATACGTCATCAACAACAGAAGGGACATTGTCTCCCCCCTCCCAAATTAGCAGCAGTCCTGATGAAGTGTCATTGTCTAAGAATGCCCAATCATTGTCTTTAATGAATATTTTATGACGTAGTCGAGAATTTTATGATGGCATTTTTGTAATCTTATCTAAATTAAAGTACAATTATTTCAAAAACTCACTGTTAGCTCTGATGTTTCTTGCACTTTGAAGGGAAATTGCTTTTTTATGGGGCGACACAGACTCCTCTCTCTTCTTCTTCTTTGTCCTTATTTCTCTGCCTGTATTCTGTGATCCTGGAAATAGTTTGGTTAGCGTGATATTATGGTTTTAAAAGGTACATTTAAAAAAAAAAAAAAAAAAAGATAGTCCTTCAAGAGTTCTTAAGTAAAGAAAATTCTTCTTGATAGAACCATCAATACTGAAAGAACCCTTTGCATGATTAAATGGTTCTTTGCATGGTGAAATAGTTCTTTAGATTGATAGATAGAAGCTATTTGAAAAGGGTTCTACTATTATTATGATATCAAGCTTGTAACAGTAGAAGTACCCTTTTTGGTGCTATACAGAACCATTTTCCATGTGAAAGAACCTTTGAAGAACCATTTTTTATGAGAGATATGATTAGGGAGATATTGCTAAGGTACCAGCCAACTATCTGTTTGTCTCTCTGTTATGTACTGTGTGTAATCACATGACAATTGTTTGCTGAAAATGCTGAAAAGCCCCCCCCCTTTTATTAATTTATTACATTTTTTTTTTTTGGAAAGGTTAAGGTTCACCCACCCAGCAATATATTTAAGAGAGCTGCCTATAAATAAGTGGCAAGGGAAGAAATGAATGTCTTTGTATAGTACACATTAGGGCCCCCTTCTAGATCTAGGGGTGTACTGCTCATGATGTTCTTCAAAAGTGTCTGAAAGGTTGTCTGCCCTATGGTGTTCTACAAAAAAGTAATAATTTCCTGACTGTCTGATGGATAATCAATACAAATCAGAGCCAATCGTAATGTAGTCTGTACCTCGGAAGTCTTCAGCAACAATGCTGCTGTCATCTTCAGATGGTTCTCCATTAACAATTAGCATTGCTTTAAGATTATTAAAGTGCTTCTCTACATTTTTGTAGCATGGACTGGAAAACAGTACAATGCTGCTGAGGAGCATCTCATCTAGTTCTGCCATTGTGGTTGCTGCAGTCAAGAGGCCAGATACATGCATGAACCTGATGAAGTGATTATCCAGGATCTATGCAGTCTGTAACAGGACTAACTGACTAACCAGGATCAATATCGTCAGTAGTACGACTAACTGGCTATCAAGAATTAATACAGTGATTATTAGAAATAATTTGCTAGATCTAAATCGCAGATCAGGGCGGCACGGTGGCGCAGTGGGTAGCGCTGTTGCCTCACAGCAAGAATAGCCTGGGTTTGATTCCCAGCCGGGTGACCAGGGTCCTTTCTGTGTGGAGTTTGCATGTTCTCCCCGGGTCTGCGTGGGTTTCCTCCCACAGTCCAAAAACATGCAGTCAGGCTGATTGGACATGCTAAAATTGCCCCTAGGTGTGAATGTGTCTGTCTGTCTGTCTGCCCTGCGATGGACTAGCGACCTGTCCAGGGTGTATCCTGCCTTCCGCCCAATGACAGCTGGGATAGGCTCCAGCACCCCACCGCGACCCAGAAGGATAAGCGGTTTAGATGATGTATGTATGTAAATCTCAGATCAACAGTCATTAAAGGGATTATAAGCAGGTTCCAGAAGAAATAGTTATGAACCATGTCCATTTGACTATCCAGGATCAGCAGCTCATCATGATGTGCAAAGTACTACTAAGTTTGCTAGCGTGCTAACTACATAAGCTTTAGTTTGCTCATAAGTTGATCAGTTATTGTCAAATATATTCCTAAAAAGTCACAGTGGAACAAGCCAGTAGCAGGATGTTACAGTGTGTTCCCCATATTAACTGAGATCATTACAGTTTATTTAAAATAATTGCAGAACACCACAGGCTTTTCAAGTACCTGTTCCCAGATTAAAAACTTGCTCCCTAAACATCATTTAATGCTACATTACCCACTGTCTATAAGGAAAACTGTTTAAAAGCGGTCAATTTGAAGCGAAACGCAATTTCTTCAAGATGTAACATAAGTTACAAGAACGTTACCCAGATACGACAAAAAGCTGTTGACCAGAATAGATCTCCAGGAAAGACCACTCACTGTGCTACTCAGTGACATGAAAGAAGGTATGGAAACTGCATCTAAACTG